TAAACATTAGACCATAGTGATCACTATAAAATAATTAAAAAAAAACGACAAATCACAGTTACTAAATAAATGACAGTCGCGTGGAAATAAATTGAAATTTTGTTGAAATAGGTGAACGCGTCGGGTCACAACGAGGGCAAGTGCGTTAAAAGCGGCGTTTAATTTGATAACAATAATAATCGAGATCGACACACATACAGATAAATTCATAGTGGATTCGAGTTAGCGTGATCCATGGTGTGATTGTCATAATTATAATATATTAAAACTTTATTTGGTGGAAACACATTGACCAAGCCTGGATTCTTATTTCAGAAATTATTACGCAGATCAAGCTGCAAGCATGGAGGTAAAAAAAGAACAGAGGTGTGAATTCGACATTCAACACAATTCAGAAACTTTTAGCCTTCGAAAATGAAAACAATTAGCAGTGTGTAAGGGCTGTGTAATTTCCTGTTTGTCCGACGCTTCGTTTTCGTGTCACTGTCGAAATTATTGCTACCTTTTACTTAACAGGGACTAAATGGTCTCTATAAAACGATAATCAGGATCGCAAAAAAGTCAACTCATTTGAAACACTTGCCGGACGTCTCTCTTTCTATTTGTTTCAAAAGTGTTGCGCCAGGTTTATGTTGTCAGCGTTTCTCTTTAAACCTAGTTTTTTTTTCATGGACGAGGACAGTTTTTTCAAAAAATGAATCTGAGGTTAAGTGGCTTTCGTCCACTGATGTCGCACCTTCGGATCGATTAGAAACGTGTGAATACTTACACTATGACTATACGTTTCACTGCAACTGTCCACAACACAACATGTAAAAACTCTCTCTCAAAAAAAAATAAATAAATAAACAAAAAAAGAAAGAAAAAAACGCCGACTGAAAAAATGTATATCGTTTAAATGTATACTGAATGACCAGTGTTATTACGGCTCAGTGGTATGACTTTCTCTCACATTTTGGCATTTGGTGGCGCACTTTCGCCGAGAGTCGGAAATCCGGAAACAGTCGACCGTTTCAGGATAGATGGGCTACAACACGAGAAATATCCCAAATTTTCTTGGATACGAGTAATCATTTTCAGCAAAAAAATCAATAACTGCCCATTTCAGTGGGATACAGATCTAAAATGGGAAACGTGAGGGTGGGCATTGCACAGGCACTTTAAAATTTGATGCACCTTGTGTGCCTGGGTACTTTGAATTTAAATAAACATAAATACTTCTAAGTGTGGCGCTCAAATTACGGCAATGCACTTATAACATAAAGGTTGCCTTTGTTGTCTATGCTACATATATTCTTCCTTTAAGGCTATGTGATGCAATAGTCGGTGCTGATACAAGGGGGGTTTGAACTCCACCATTTTTAAACCCCTTTAGGGTGGCAAAACATGTTTACATCTGTTTTTCTTTTACACCCACATAAGTTATAAAGAAAAGGGGAGAGATAAATTTATTGCAGGAATAAGTAAAGTATTTCATTTCATTTGATATCAAAGTTAAAAGCTGTTAAAACTATTTAGTACTTGTTTTACTTTTTAAAAAGTGCTAATTATCTCTTCGAAAAAACATCATGCAGCAAAATCATTCTTTGCAATATTCAAAAGGTGCTGGAAACAATTTCTGATTGGTAAATGGCATTTTAGACTTTAATATCGGGTCAAAACATACCATGGCAACTCAACTTCGAGTGCTCTAGAATATTATCTCATGATAAAACAAACTTGAAGTATGAAATTATATGTATGGACATCCATGATTTTTTTCCTAAATCACTGAATAGTTTTCACTTCATTTTATAAACTGATCTATAATACTATGCATACTTATTTTTCAGATTCAGTTCCGGGACATGGCAGCAAAGAAAAAACGTGTTACAAGAAGTCGTTCACTGTCCCTCTCATCAACAGATAGTTATAGCTCAGGATCTTATACAGAAAGCTTCTCAGACGATGATGGGCTGACACCCAGAGAGAGATTGCAGGTATGAACCAGTTAGCATTTGTGAGCAAGAGGGATGAAGGGGATTGAGAAAGGAAGTGTTAAAATTATCAAATATGTGCTGTGGCAAGAAGCATGTTATTGTTGTATGTTTCTACAAGTTCTATGTTTCTACAAGTTCTAATATCATGAAATTCAATGCTAGTGGTATTATTCGATATTGATGAAAAATCATTAGTAATTCAATTATATACTGAATATAAACTGAAGACGTGGGTGTCATTTGAATTGAAATAAAACTATTTTACATGTTTCCATGCAGTTTTTCAACCAAAATCACAAATTACGTTTACTGTGAGCTGGCCTGAAACAACATGAATTGTGAAAATTATAGAAATTGTAATTTTGGTTACGCTAGTATCTTGGCCATCATGCACAAACTTTTTAATTTTGTTAGGTTCCTGTTCATACGTAGTACAAAAACATTGACCTACAGTTTCACCTTCCTTCAATCTGTCCATACCTGTATCTCAGTCATACATAGACTGATCACATTCAAACTTTACACATTTATCAAATGTTGTATCATACATGTGCATTTGTCTCATTCACTTTTAGACGTCCAAAAAACAATTATCAATTATTGAAAATCAATTATGCTAAGACAAAATCGGAATTCAGTCATGCATGGACATATTTTATTCAAACTTGATTTGTCCATTGGACATAATTGATCATATTTTTCCAGATTGGATACAAAATGGCCAACTAGTGGTCATTGTGATTTAACGCAGTTCCAGGACCATATCTCTAACATGCTGTAACCATTCATTTCAAACTTTATATATCACACATATGTATAAAGACTCATTGCATGAGCAAATTCAAGGCGATTGAATGAAAACCAATTAATGTTAAAATGCATCAAAATTAAGCATTTGCGTCAGCCCCAAACTGGATTTTGCTTGTGCATTGTTCATAATAGTCACTATCTCTTTATAATCATGTTAATTTGTTGTATGTTGATTATTATCTACAGGAAAATAGCAAAGGTTGTGGCGAGTTTTGTGTTAAGAATATTAATCAGGCAGAATTTGGAAGAAGAGAAATAGAAATTGCCGAACAAGGTAATGGTATTCTCTGATTTCTTGAATTTCTAGATGACAGGAAGAAATATTGCTTTCATTACTGTGTACCCTATGTTTTTTAACACCCTGCAATAACTGTTGACAAAATACTCGAATACTAGTAATATCATTCACTACAGAAGACCTTTTATTGAGTAACATTTCTTTAAAAAATAAACAACAATTTTCTTTTATTACACGGTTATAGAAATGCCTGGTTTGATGGCGCTGCGTAAGCGAGCAGAATCGGAAAAACCATTGAGTGGTGCAAAAATCACAGGGTGTACTCATATTACAGCTCAAGCAGCAGTAAGTTTGCTTTGTAACACATTTCTTTTTCAACAATTGTCTGTTATCATGGTGATGGTATTGGCGGAATGTACTTATTAAGTTCCAGTATACTAGAGGCTACCTTTCTTTATTTCTGAAGAGTTCCATATATACAATAACAAAATCATTCATGCTCAAATCATTGTTTTGTTGCATGAATTCGTGTTTCACTTGATTTTCTTACCAAGTTACCATGGTTACTCTTCTTTCAATGAGATCTGCACATATTTTGTTTAGCACTTTTGTGTTGTCAGACGTTCTAAAATAATAGCTTGCTCATTCCGGAAATATCTGTCATGTGACTGGAATTCCGCCTGTACTTGCATATCAACCTACGTTGGAGAGCGAGTGACGTTAAAAACTGATTGTCTACATCAAGTTTGTATATTCCATGTTTGTCCCATTAGAATCTTTTACATAAATACCCTGTCAAAATGACAGGCTTGTAAGCTTCAACAACTGACACTGTAAGCTTTTGAGCTGTTATGTGCTTCTAATAGAGCTTTGAAAATCACTGAAACTGAATTTTCGATAACCACAACTAATTATCTTTTGATCGAAACTTCTATTTGACATGTGTATCGATGTTGCTGTCGTAGAGAGCAGTAATCATTTCAACATCCTAAATGTATACCTAGAAACATTGCATTGTGGGTAATTGCTTTAATCTATAAGTTTATGGTACAGCAGGTAGTACGTTGCTGTTCCTTCATGAGACTAAGTTACAGGTCAGTAAACTTTACAGTCAGTCTGATGTGAATTTAAACAGCTAGCTTTCACCTAGACTTGGTGATAGTCATACTTACTTCAGATCAGTTCATTACCTTTGACAGTCACCTAATAAAACAGCCAACAATATGGTTGATTTCCCTAATGTCAGCAATGTGCTGGACTTGTACATCAGACTGACAGTCAAAAATAAACCTGGCTTTAAAGTCCTCTGTGGCTTGAATGCAAATCATTATTTATCATCTATCAACACTGTCTGTACATTGCATTATTTCTTTTTTACAGAAAAAATATCATCAAGGAAGTGCCGTGTAATAATTAAATTTGTGAAATTATTCTTAGTTGGGTCATCTTTTTGTCTGCCAATACTTTTAAACTTACACACAATGACTTTGTAAACCATTGTTTGTCAAATCCTAAATTCAGATTATCCCCATTGTAAACAAAAAGCCAAAAATATAATAGTTTAGTTCAGAGAGAATAAATACTGAAGAACTTCCTTGGTGATGATAAACAGATGAATCAATCTGTATGTGGGCTTGGCAATTCCACTTTCAATTGAGCTAAGTGTGTTACTGTCTCTTGGTTTTCCTTCTGCTTTGTTCTTGATGGTCTGCTGCAGGTCTTGATAGAAACCTTGGCTGCTCTCGGAGCCACCGTACGTTGGTGTGCGTGCAACATTTACTCAACACAGAATGAAGTGGCAGCTGCTTTAGCAGAAGCAGGTATGTGTATTGAGTATATCCAGAGTTTTATTTTCATTATTTTGAAATGTATATTCTGATCATGTGTTGCTCTTCAGTTGAATTAGTTTTGTTGGAACTAAATCTTTATCATATGCAACTACATCAGCTCAAAAATCGCGAAACTGACCTAGAAAAAGAGGTGAAGTGTGTAAAGTACCAGTCATAACCTGTGAAAGTATAGTATGTGTACATTAGGATGCATATTTAATATTGTTGTATATTTATTTGATTGGGGTCAAAAGAATGTGGTGTAGGTTGAACACTGCCAAATACTGCTGCCACTAAAACAAAAGGTCACTGCAAATATCACAGTTACTAGTATGATAATTCTTTGTATTTTGAAATTTTTATTAGTCCCCGTTCGGACGTAGTCCGAAAACGGGGACTTGTGTTTTGCCCTGTGTGCGTCCGTGCATCCGTGCGTCCGTGATCACCTGTATCTCTAACATGCATGGACCGATTAAGTTCAAACTTCACTCATACATCACACATTATATGGGACAAATGCACATGCATTTTTTTCATGATCCGATTAACGATAGCTGAATAGCGGCCATTTTAAGGCCGAAAATGCATCAAAATCGCATTTTTTCACCATTCCGGACCCGGATCTCAGTTATGCATGAACGGATTTTGTTCAAATTTGGTACATACATTAAACATAATAGGACCTTGATGCACGTCTTTTTTGGGGGGGATCGGGTTTGAAATGGCCGACTGGCGGCCATTTTGTTTTAAAGAATTCAGTTCTGGATCCGTATCCGAGACATGTCTGGATTGATCAAGTTCAAACTTCACACACACAAGGTACATCATGTCACAAATATGTATGTGCATTTGTTTCATGATCTCATTAACGATGGCCAAATGGCGGTCGCTTAAAGGCCGAAAATGCATTGAAACCGCACATTTTCACCATTCCGGACCTGGATCTCAGTTCGGCATGGACGGATTTTGTTCAAATTTGGTACATACATTAAA